AACACTAAATGTATCACATGGAAGGAAGATATAGTAGTTCCCATGGTAATTAACAACACTAAGGTAATGTTATCACAATGTATCACACCATTTTCYAAACAAACTTATGATCAACATTAAATGTACCACAATGTAGCACAAATAGATTATCATAAGATGGTAAATTCTTTTTAAACAAACAGTATATTCTTGAATTCAATAGTATTTAAAACAAAACAACCACCAACACTAAACACTAAAACTGATGATTTAAACCTAAAATCGTGTTAGGGAATGTAATGAGATGATACCTGTTTCTTCGATTGCTATAACATCAACATGGTCTTCATCATCGGTTTCTAGGTCAATAGCTTCGCTTTGTTTGTTTGAAAACTTAAACATCGATTTCGCCTTTAATCGACMGCTCCTTCTTCCTGTACCATTCCACATTACAGAAACAAGGGTTACTGGATTGTTCATATTGGAAATGAAGAACATAAATCGATTATACCTATTCCTTCGTCATCCTCCATCGTTTATGTATAGCCTTACACTTGCGATTATTCTTCGATTTCTCTTCGATTTCTCTTGCGATTAGACTAGGGCTTAGCGATGTCTTCTCTCTCAAATACAGTAACCTATCTTCACCAAATTTAGATTCGAAATTGAACAAGAATAATAACGGATTTGAGCGCGGACCGAATAAAATAAADTATAAAATGACGATATTGCCCTTATTCATATAATTTCATTAAATGATATTAATTTATTTATAGAAATAGAATAATTAATATTCTTTTTAATCTTAACCATTAATTTTTTTAATTTATGGTTGAGATTGGTTCTCACGGTTACCACAAACAATTTAGTTCTCATTTGATTAAGCCCCTATATATATATATATATATATATATATATGGGATCATGTGAGACCAGTTTGTTTTTGTGAGACCCTTCAAACCACTTTTTTACACTTAAAACTTCACAGCAAAATGCTATGAAGGTAACTTTCACAGTGTTTTTGCTGTGAATGTTTGACTTTTTAAACTTTCACAGTGTTTTTACTGTGAAGTTTCAAGTGTAAAAATATGGTTTCACGGGTCTCGTGAAAACAAACTTGTCTCACATGAACCCAACCCTATTAAAATACTAAATGAAATCATGTGTTAACTCTAGAAATAAAGCTTAGGGTTTTGTGGTTCTGATTTAGAGTTTTTATTGTAAAATTTAGGTTTTTACTGTAAAACAGGCTTGGTCTCACGAAATGGCTATCAAAATCCCATCAAGAATAAATCTACCTCTGATGACAGCATTTTGGGCATCGCCTATAACCTCACCAATGATTTTCTTACACCTTTTGTGTACCATAGATGGAAGAAACGTGTTTTTAATCAGAGAGACGTATTCGGAGAAAATTTTGACTTTTTGCATGAAGCCCTTAGAAGCTTTCTGAATAAGGGGGTGTTTGAGATTGCTTATTTAAAACACTAACATCCCAAACACCCCTTAAGTCGGTTCTATATCATTAAGTCATTACCAAACAATTATGTATTACAGACGAAATAATTTATAATTTATATTAAGCTCCTTAAGCTGCTCATAAAGATACCCATACTAAAATATATGTATTATATATGTCTCAAAATGTTCTATTATTATGCTGAACTTGTTCAACAAATATTATCTTAACAGTTGACAATTGAATATATAAAACCTGAGTTTTTTTTTATAAGATGATAAAATTGGATAGATATAAAGTATTATTTGATAATTTCATATATGGTGATAATTGTGAGGATTTTTATTTTAAGGTATTGTTTCATATATTTTTTTTTTTAATTTAAGACTACTATTTAATGTATTGATAAACATATAATTATTTCACAATGTGTTTGTTTCATATGTATGTGGTTCACAATGTAAAAAAAAATTGCGTATAAAGTTAAAAGGTTCATATTATGAAACAAACAAATTGTGAAACAAATATATGTTAATCGATGTTCTAACTTCTACTCTTCCATAAAAAATTCATAAAAAAATAACACATGATATGCTAGTTCTCAAAATTATTATAATTTCATAGGTTTTCAAAAAACAGTTTCTTATATAAAAGTTACATAATAGATGCACCACTAATAAAAAAAGGAAATTGACCGAAATATCCATCTCTCCCTCCTAAATTGTCCTCCTAGCCAATCTCCTTCATTTCCCAAATGTCATTATGTATGCAAGTCCCACCTCCCTCACTTGCGGACCTAGCTAAAAGGAAAAAAAAACAGATTCAACCTAGATCCGCAATTGCGATGGCCAGATCTGCAATTACGACAGTATCACTTGCTAACTTAGGTTGAATTTGAGTTACTTTTGTCTTTTCGCTAAGTCTGCAAATGGGGAAGGTGAGACTTACGTAGATAGTGACATTTGGATAAATCAATGGGATAAATAACATATGAACATCAAAGTTGACATTTTTAATAAATATATTTAAATAAACAATGAAATAAATTGTCTTTTTCTATATATGTTCGTTTCAAACAAAAAATAAAGGGTGATTGTGATCTTAATTATTAATAAACAATAAGGAAATAAATTGCCTTTTTTCCTGAAATTATTATCTAAAGAAGTTGTTAGATGTCAAAATGTGTTGATCTTGACGTACATTTTAATTAATATCATCTATCAATCATATATAATTAAACCGTCCGTTAGTCGGGTAGACGACATGACTTTAAACATATTATGAACGTCCTCGAACCAGACCTTAAACAAAAAGCAACAATTTTTATCAACCTGAACAAATCGATAATATGATAAATGTGAGCATAAATTTATTTGTCAAAAGTTTTATGCTAACTCGATTGATACCCCAAGTAATACTCCTACTATCTCACAACGTACCCCTACCGAATCCCTCTAGACGTAGATGAAAGGACTGATCAAATTTAGTTTCTAAACAAATTCTAAACGTCCCCGAAACAGACCTCAAACAACCTCAAAAATGCTATATAAAAAAAAAAAAAACAAGCCCCAATCATTCCCTATGGACCTGCACTCGATAACAACACTATATAGCTGTTATTTTAGGGACAAATACTTGATAAATAGCCTTTATAGTTGCCATTTTTTAGTCTAGTGACACTATTAAAAAAGATCCCCATACAATAAATGTGTATTTTAGTTAATATATGTGTATGCTGATATAATAAATGTGTAAAATGAAAAAGGAAGAGATATAAAGTAAATCAAATAACTAACTATAAGGTTATAAAGTGTTTTTTAAATTGAAAATGATTTGGTGGAAGACACCGGGAGGTTCTAATTTTTAAGATAGTGTACAATTTCCTTAATTGATTGTACCTCTTAAAAATTCAAGAACAACGATACAACTGCAAAATACATTAGTTTAAACGGCTCAGATCTAATCTCAAGATTAATATATAATTAGCATCAAGTTTTCTAGTTGGTACATATCGGTACAGTTTTTACTAACATCGTAATAGTTGAAGTTACAAATTCATTTATATTGACATCTTTACCAACTAGATCTAAATGCATTAAAAACATTAAACATTCGAATGACATGTTGATATGTGTTATACCACTTATCTCTACGTAGACAATCATTCACATAATGTACGAGAATTGGTTGGTTTGTCTTATTACGGAATAGACACCACTACTGTTATGGATTTATGATTGGTGTTACAGATCATAAATCTTGCTGTTTTCGACAAGCCAACTTAATTTGTTCAGCTCGATGTATTTTGAAAAGCTTGTAGACTCCCTTCGTTGATTTTGTAAGATTTTTGTGAGCACGGAATAGATTGATAATTTGATGTATTCTCTTCATTTCAAAATTCTGATCGTAATACTTAAACATATATTTGGATGATTGTAATATGTTGGTCTTTCAGAAGAGTTTTTTTTCTACTTTTCTTTCATAAACTTATTTATTATTTATAAATCTACCATTAAGTATTAACCGTCAACCAATCCGAAAATATAATCTAAAATTAGGTTATGTTATACTTTTTGGATAGGTTTGTATGGAATTTTTTTAAACTACCATAATTGATCACTATTAAATACGGGGTTTTCATTTCTGGAAAATTCAGCCAGAAAAAAAAAGATTTCTTGCAGATTATCCGGTCGGAAAAAACCTTACTAGGAACATGTTTTTCGATGGAATCACCGATGAATTAAGCATCACCGGCTGCAAGAATTCTTTCCTTTTTTTTTTCCAGTTTAAGCTATTTAATTAATTAACTTGATTATTTATCATAGTTTTTTACTTTTTAAGAATTAGAAAATGATTTCTTATTTTTTTTAAAATTAGGAAATGATTTTTTATTTTTTTAAAACGTTAGAAAATGATTTTTTTATATAAAAAAGTTAGAAAATGATTTTTCATTTTTTAAAAATTAAAAATGATTTTTTAATTTTTTAAAATTAAAATGATTTTTTATTTACCGGCGGATGAGTGACGGATCCTCCAATCTGCCACAAGTATTGAATTTCTTTTTTTTAAAGTAAAAATAATTAATTAATTAATGTCAGTGGAAGATCTTCGTTAACTAAAATACGTCACAAATTCAATATTAATTAATTTTTTTAAAAATTATATAATTTAATGACGGATTTCTGGCAGATTATTTTCAATAACTATTTTTCACATGTTCATGAAGCCTATAAATTAAAAGATGATGAATATAGTGATTTATTCACATGTTCATACAAAGCAAAAATCGAGAAATAATGAATACGATTATTCATTTACATATGCATGCAACACAGAAATCGAAAAAATAATTAGTTGGAATTTTTTTTTTAGATTGTTGAGTATTTTTTTGTAGATTTTTGGATATTTTTCTTTAGATTTTTAGAGGATTAATGAAATTTACCTCTTTTTGCAATTAATAAATTATTTAAATTAAATATAGAAGACAATATATTGTCGGATGAATTTTGCAAATCTAGCTACGTATACATATAAGATAAAGTGAGAAACATTTAAATTATAATTATAATTATAATCCAAAAGACATTTAAATTATAATCCATGATTACTGAAACATCTTACCATCCAACACATCAAAATACATTTTAAATTACAATCCATGATTATTGAAACATCTTACCATCCAACATATCAACTTCTTACTTCATGCCCAATTATTGAGCTCATTGCTTTTATATCATCAATCAAACGAGCCAAATTCATAGATGAAGACCCCTTCTCGGTTATCGACTTCTCCGCCAGATTTGCCCAATTATCTGCATGTTGTGCGAACATATCTCGACTCGTTTCCATCACATCCCTCACCGCCTTCTCTACGATCAACCGATCGCAGCTATCTTTCATGTCGACTCCCACCTTCCATACCTCTCCCACAAATCGACTGTTCACTTGTTGGTCCACAAAATACGGCCAACAAATCATCGGAACACCCTCCTTTATACTTTCAATCGTCGAGTTCCACCCACTATGTGTCAAAAACGCACCAATGGCTCGATGAGCCATAACCTCTTCTTGTGGAGCCCAATCCACAATGCACCCTATTTCTTTGGTACGTTCAAGTAGCTCATGTGGAACCAGTGACTCATCACCAATGATCGAACCGGGCCGTCTAACCCATAAGAAAGGCTTCCCACTGTTAACCACACCGTGCCATATTTCGAGCAGTTGGTCGATGGTCATGGTGGCTAGACTCCCTATGCTGACGTAAACMACGGTTTTTGGAGGGTGTTTGTCGAGCCAYGAAAGGCAAGTCTCGTCTTCCTTCCAAACGCTGTTGGAAAAGGTGGATTTGGGCAAGGATGGGGTAGTGAGCCGAGCTTTGTGGAGAGAGTGAAGTGGGCCAATGGGGTAAATATTTGGRCAAAGGKTTTGCATGTGTGTTAGTATGAGAGCGTCTAAGTCWTGGAATGTGTTGAGTATGAGACCTTGAGCTCGAGGAACGGCTCGAGCTTCTTTCAGGATGAGTTCAATAACCGGCGTTGATATGTCATCGGAGCGACAGAAGCTGGCAAGATCCCGACGCCGGAGAAAATTTTCTGTTCCCGGCACACTCTTTACCAGTTCGTCTAAATCTTTCCCTGAAGGGGAAAGAATAGTTATTATTGTTAAAATGCATTCCAAAAATAATCATATCATTTAAATAATAGGATTGAGAATTGAGATATGAACCGTTTTTTATGTGCCATTTGTATGTTTGATGTGACCAAATTTGATTAAAATTATAAGACCTTTTCTTCCGAAGTAATAAAAAAATGAAAATACATAACATCTTAATAAATATCTTTTTACCTACTATATATTAGTTATATATATATATATATATATATATATAAACTATTCAATTTTAGGGATAAAAGGATTAAAAAATTATGTAAGATTTATGGGCCATTTACCAAACATTTATTCAAAAAGTGCTTACCGGTAAATTTTAACACTATTATTTACTTACCGAGTAAGATTTTAGTCCACCAAAATGACATTGTATGCAACAATTTACCCGGTAAGCGCTTAACACGGTAAGAATCATCACCCTCACTTGTCGGATAAGACTCATGGTCCTTGTTTCGCTCTTACCGGGTAAAATTTTGGTCCTTACTATATTCATCCAGTGAAGTAATGTGACTTGGTAAACGTTTATCCAAAAGAAATGATTGGTAAACGGCCAGCCGTTAGTTATTTATTCAATCTTAATGACTTTTTGTTCCACCTGTTTTTAACATCTTGTGTCTTATCCTTACTATTTCAGAGTAAAACCTAGACACATTTTTTTTTTTTTTGTTAAAAATTGCAAATATTGTTTCTAGAAAGGGTTTAGTTAATTAATACAGGATATTTGGAAGTGTTAAATACGAATACGAACCTTTGAAGGGAACATCACCAGCTTGGATAAGGGTAGGAAGATTCAAATAACAAGTCCACAAACAGCATGGACTGACGGTCTCGAAGCAAACCACCGGAGTCGAACTCTCTATAGCTATGTCCACCGCGAAACTGAAGCAAGCATCAGGTATCATCACCGTCACCGGCCGCTCCGACTTCCTACTCAGGCTACCGGAAATCATCATCTCCCGTAAAATCGGTTTACTCACAGCGTCTACAGCACTCATCACCTCCATAAACCGATCGCCAGAGACTGGTTTTTCATGCTCTACTCCATCAGGGATGGTCAGGAATTGGAAGTTGGGGTAGCGGCTGAATCGGGACAAGACTTGGGTGTGGTGGAGGAGAGGGCGGTGGATGTGATCGGTGTTAAGGAAGGTGACGTGGATGCCGGAAAGACATATGAGTTCAGCTAACTTGAGAGCACAGTTAACTGGGCCCTGGAATGGCATGGGAAAGATGAGCACATGAGGGGTTTTAGCGTCTTTTTGTTGGTCCATGATTGGATTTTCTTGAGGTACGAGGATGGAGGAAATGTGGCATGAAAATGGGTATATATTGTGGTACAGGAGCTCCTTCGTGTCCAATTACTAGGAGCTGTTGCTCTCGAGCGTGGAAAAAGGATGCACTACATGGTCAAAAAGAACCGTATGAATGACGACGAATTAATGGTATCATGTCAAAATTATTTTAATTTATAGAATATCAAAATTTTCAAACTTGAGGTGCTACGATTATTATTTTCAATTAATTATGTTTGAGACACTTTATTTTTTATAGGATTCGAATAGTCTACTATAAAGTTAGTAATGAGACGGTGTATATTAAACGTGTCTTAAAAAATTTATTATGCCGTCAAAAAACGTCATATAAACTTATTACAACGCCTTTAGATATAACACTTTATTTTTTAGTCCTATAAACAGAGTTCTATAAAGAAGTCTATTAGGACGCTTAGAAAATTGGGAGCGTCCTATAAACCCGATTTTGTAGTAGTGACGACTTCCCGCAGCCTCAACTATGGGACTAGCCACACAACCTAATGGAATCGAGACAGAATGTCCTGCGGCTAGTGGCCCGTCCCCTTGGACCTCTCCTAAAGTTGGTTGAGTTCCTCTTCATTTAAACTTTATCTTCATTAATTTATACTTAGCTTAGGATTATTATCCGCTTTTTAATAGCTATTTTTTCCTCTAGCTTAAACTATAAATAGGTTTCACTATTTTCAGTCTTAATCAGATTATTAAGTTATCAATAAACTTTCTTCGAGTTCATTGAATATGTCTGAGCTTTATTATGACTGTAAGTCTCTTAGTCTTTGGTGTTACACGTTTGTCAACACATTACCGTCCTATTGCATGAGATACAAGTTTAGTGATAAAAGATTATTGTCAAAATAGAAATCCAAGAATTGAATAGATTTGTATATATAATATATATATATATAGGTAGATATCAAATGCAATGACAAGAAAATTTATACATACTTTATATTATTTAGAATTAATACTGTTTGGTGAAAGTATTTGATTTACGTACTTTAAAAAAGTTTGACTAGGCATGGGAATAGGCCCCGACCCATCAAAAATCCGGTCCACCCGTCCCGGTCGGGGACGGGGATTCCCCGCTAAACCGGGGATGGGGACGGGGACGGGGATCCCCGTTTGTCTCAAACTGGGGATGGGACGGGGACGGGTATGGTACTTCCCACCCTGCCCTGTACCCGTTATATATTAATTAATAAATTTTATATATATATAATATTTATTTCACTAAAGCGGTAGTTCATAATTTTCTATTTCGTAACTAAGTTTATAATCTAAAATTGTTATTTTTTTTTTATGTTAATATGTAATATTTTGAATGTCAAGTCAAAATGCAATTACTCGATAAGTTTTGTATATTACTCGATATGGTTTTATATTACTTAATATCTTTTGGTACATGTGACTTTAAGTTTTTTGGATTTAATTGAATATTTTTTGGTTTTAGGTTATTAGTTCCTATATGATATGGTTTTTTTGTATAAAATTAAATTCATTTTAGTTTTAGGTTTATTGAAATGTTTGAGATTTAAATATGTATGGTCACTTACATATTTAATTTAAAATAACTTATATAAACGGGAAAAAAAACATCTTCGTTTCCCCGTTAGGGATCCCCGTTCCCCGTTGGGGGTAGGGATGGGGATGTGATTATATTCCCCGGCGGGGATGAAGATGAGGACGAAGATAGAGATAAGTAATTGAGGACGGGGACATGGATTGAGGTCCCCGCCCCATCCCATGCCTAAGCTTGACCAATAATGAATTTAGGTATTGCCTAATTGCTTTTATATCGTATTTGATTATAATCATGTTACAACGACACACACACTTCTTCATTTAAAAAAAAAAATTAAAAGCAAAAAAAGGAAGGACAATGAGGAGAGCTACGGCATGGCCATCACCCTCACCAAGTCAACCAAAAAAAATAAATTAACAAATAGAAAAAACACAAACTTATTAAAAGTAGTTTTTCGTAAATTTAATAATTATTATATCATGATTAATAAAAGCTACTGATGAATATTTTTAAGAAAAATAAATTTAACAGCTACAAAAATAACTTTTTTATTAAATCACAATAAATTAAAGCCAAAATAATGTAATTTACTATAATTGTTTTATGGGATTCTTTCATAACCCATTATAAACTTGTAATGACTTTTAGAATTAGTGTATATGTATCATGTAATTATATGAATTTTTTAATCAAAGACTATGATTAATAATATTTGTTTCAGTTTATTTCACATGTATTTTTTTTTCCATGATATGAACCCTTTTAGTCTATTTATGTAAATAAAAACTAGACGGAAAAAGTTTCATGTTATGACATATATAATCACACAACCAAATACATTTGAAACAAACAGATTATATAGAATAAAATCAGAGTTATTTGTGCATTGTTTGTGTGTGTGTTTTTCTTTCCTTTAAGGGATGTTTCTCTTTATGTGTTTCTTCTGTTTGTTAATTTATTTATTTTGGACATGTTGAGGATGTCTTAATGGTTATACGCATCATTTTGGGTTAAATATTGGATTGCGGAATGTGCACGCTGTATAACACCCCAAAGCCAAAGCAACAAGTTGGCCCAATATTAACTTCCAATTCAACTTAAAACCATGATAAAAGTTATTGGTAGCCCACAACTTGAGTTTTATAAAGAGCTCGCAAATCTCATTGTCTATCCATGTGGGATGAGTTGTTAGAAACTCCCCCACTTCAACTCCTGACGTCTCGTTAGGACCCAAAATCTTCCTTCTTGTAGTCAGCGATGTGGGATTCGCCTAAGTTGTTACAAGCATCCTCCCAGGAGCACTCATCACACCCGATAAAGTTTTCCCCACCATCATGATGGTAAAAGGATCGACTTTGATACTATTTGTAAAATCCCAAAGTCAAAAGCAAAAGGTTGGCCCAATAACTTCGGATTCAACTTAAAACCATCGTGGAAATCATTGGTAACCCACAACTTGGGGTTTGTAAGGAGTTTACAAATCCTTTTTTCTATCTATGTGGAACGAGTCATTACACATTATGTCACCACTATAGTGGGCAACATAAATTTGAGGACAACTGAAAAACATCATTTTTTTCATGTATTCTTCTGCTTATTTCAGTTACAATATAATATTATTGAAAGTGAAGCTTTAGAAGACCAAAGGAAGATGAAAAGAAGACAAAAGCATAGCCAAATCTTGGTGGAAAGATATTCATGCTCAAAACAGGGCATGGATTCACCTATATAAGTTACGGCTAAAGTTGCAAAATAAGAGCTTATAATTTGGATATGCTATTTTGGGGTCAATCTAGATTGACCATCACTCCTGAGATCTTTGATAATGGCGTTACCTAAAAGTAGTAGGCAACACTTTGCATTGTTGTTAACTCTTGGGTTTGGTTACTTGAGTCGAAACCTTAACTTAACGTAGACAAGTCAATCACTTGAAAATGTTAAAATTAGGTCTTAGACCCAAAGACGGTGGATTCTGAAATACGGCTTGAATGATGCAAGAAGATTTGGGAAAGTCTTTCATAATCATATAGATATATGGGGTTTTTGCATGATTTTGTAAGTAAGGTTCAAACATCGGTTGGTGGTGGTGTTACATAGAGATGTGAGTATTCTCTTCATACTGGTCAAACTAAGATTCACTGAAATCTACTTAGTTCGATCGGCAAGACTTCGATTGGTAAAAGTGGTGACTTTGTGCATTGGAGACTTTTGAGAGATGAGGACTTTTTATAGATGTTTTGTGATCATTCTCTTTGACCATCTTGTTACTACTTGTCTCTTAGGTCACCTTTACACCTATATCTATTTTTAATTACTTGTTTAGATTTTGTTGTGAAAATCACCAAACTCGCTTAAAGATATTTTTTTTCTTCTCTAATTGAAATCATTATATTCTCAACTCAGTACACGAAACTCTGAATTCTGATCCTTGTGGATATGATCTCAATATTCTTACTATTTTATTACTTATAGCGATCATGATGTCCAACGTGCACTTGCACTGTTACTGTGGCAACATAGGTGGCCACTCCTATGGAATTACACGATTTTCACTATCTTTTATCGATACGTTAAATACTAGCATTATATAGAAAAAGATCGTGTTCTCATAATTATCACAATATATTGAGTTTTCATTTGATTACGTATTTACGTCCCATTATTTTATTACATATGTTAATAATTGTTTTATTCCTTATATAAAATATTGTTATATTTATATTAGCTAATAAATTAATATTTTGATATTATTATCTAAAATTATAATTGATTATAACATAGTTCTTTTAAATATTTGTTGAACTTCAAAAACTGTTGAGATGAAGGATAATTACGGTATTATTGTTAAAATTGATATGACATTTTAAAATATTTTAGTATAACTACATTAAATATTTGTTTCATTTTACGAATAATACGATAAAATTAATTTTATAGGACATTAAGATTATTTAAGCGTCTTAATATAATACTTTATAAAAGTTAGGTTTACATAACCATACTATAAAGTGTCATATTTAAAATTGTTACAATAAGTTTATAAGACGTTTTTAGATATTTTAACAAATTTTTTAAGATGATTTTAAAGTTAAGTGTCCTATGAGCTATTTTGTATACTTCTGAGAATTGTCTTATAAACCTATCTTTTTATGATAAAGATATATATTTTTGATTAACGTGGATATCCAACCCGCTATGCGATCCGACTAATCCCAGAGCAACCACCTGCTTTGCAGATAGCCCGGAGTCACTGCATTTGAACCTCCGTGACCACAAGGGGATTTTTATTCCTCCTTGGATTTAAACCTGGGACCTCCAGATACTTTTGACTTTTGGAGTCAAGCTCAAACCAATCGGACACCATCTTTATGGTTGATAAAGATATCTTATTATATATCCTAAGATTTGGTCTTGGATAAGCTTAGACATGATTGGGACTGGATTGGTACAAGATTTACAAAGGTAACAAATCTTTACAACACAAAGTACAAAAAGTTAATGCAATTCAATCTCCTTGCACCTGACAGCTTTGAACCAACTTGATTTTAATCATTTTTATCATACTTACA